TCCTATTCATGCTTCATTGAAGTCCATGTTTCTGCAGCATCCTGGGTCCCCATCCTTTTATCCATTCACCACTAGCGTTGTTTTTTGTTTGTTTGTTTGTTTTTTTGGTTTTTTTTTGGAGAGGTTTTTGCTACAGGGCGCATGCACTTGCCAGAAAGACAAGAGAGAGAGACAGAGAGACAGAGAGCGAGAAGTCACCCCCCCAGGGGGGATGGTCATACCACAATCCTTTCTCCTCTATTCTCCTTTTGGAATCTTGGGCACGCATGCACATGCACCCGGCATGAGTTTAAGCCACCAGGTCTGGGACTTGAACCACAGTCCATTACTTGGGAGTCCAGTGACATAGCCATTATGCTAACTGCTGGTCCCTCACCACTAGCATTGTGATAAGTGGACAATATCCTCCTTACACCCATCTCTCCACAATCAAATAGGGAAGATAAGATTGTAACAGTAAGCATTCTGTTTGTGGTGTTTTAGCTAAAACATGCAGGAGTGGGACTGGTTCAAAAGGACAACTGCTTTCAAAACTGTCTCCACACAGGCAGGGCAATTCCCAGAATGATTCCAACTGTCTATTTCAATCAAACTAAGCACAGCAATCTGTCACACACCCAGTATGATTGGAACATCTAATCCTTCAAACTCTCCATGGTTGTGTGAACAGAGAAGATTGATTAGTCTGACCAAATACTATGGCCAGAGTAATTCTCAGAATTTTCCTATTGCAATTATTTTAAAAACAATTTCAGAAGGATGGTGATGGCAAACTGGATGAAAATTTGGATGCTGCAGTGAAAATAATTCATAGATAACTTCTTTTTTCAATTTTATATTTTTTACTTTTTGGTTTTTTAAAAAATAATTAAAGTAATACAGAAACTTTTTTAAAAAAAGAGAATTACCAATAATCCTCCTCTCGCTCCAAGTATGACCCAACCTTTTCAATGTTAGAAGTGGAGCTAGATGAATTTTCCATATCTCCCACAAGCAACAAATATCCTGAAATGCTCTGATATCTGTTCTCCATGCAGTTTCTCATCCACAGTTCCAAAGTCCAGACCTCTCTGAATATTGCCTTGGTGCAATCTTCAGCTTTCATCTTGGGTAGAATTGGTAGCTTCTATAAAGTAAATGTTCAGGGTCTCCAAGGAGGTTTCTGCCCATAAATACTCTTTTCCAATCTTCTCCCCAGAAAGAGAACTCAAAAACAACACTTATTTCACAGCTTAATTTGGCTTAAATTCAATGTCCATGGCCTTAATTCATTCACAGTAAAATGCAAACAACCGTTTGGTGCTTCCCAAGAGAACCAGCTTCTACAAGGAATCCCCCAGAACTTTCAGTTAGAAAGACAGTATTAGCCCAGGAATGAACTATTCTAAAGTCAGCCTTTCTTGTCAGTGATCTTTTAAAACTTAAATGGGCCTTCCTGTTTAAACATGGCTACTTTTTTTTTTTTTTTGAGAGGTTTTTCGCTATAGGGCGCGTGCGATCGCCAGACAGACAGAGAGAGACATAGAGACAGAAAGCGAGAAATCACCCCCCAGGGGGGATGGCCACGCCGCAATCCCTTCTCCTCCATTCTCCTCTTGGGATCTTGGGCATGCACGCACACGTGCCCGGCGTGAGTTTTAAGCCACCGGGTCCGGGACGTGAACTGCGGTCGACTACGTGGGAGTCCAGCGACATAGCCATTACGCTAACTGCTGGTTCTCTAAACATGGCTACTTTTTGAACAAAAGCCACATAATGGGTGCTTGTTGTCCAGTAAAATGGCACTATGGCAACTCTGTCATTTGTGAAAGCTAGCCTGGGATACAAAAGTCAAGTCACAGAAGCATCATTTCTCTTTTACCTTCTTCTCCTTTGAAAATAGTCTATTTTTCTCATGTTTCCCAACTGCAAAACTTGATTAAAAATAGGAGCAAGCCTATCAGGCCAAGCTGTCTAGTTTCACATGAGAATTTCCCATCTTTCCATAAGCATTCAGTCTCCTCATAGTTTGTTTTTATATTTGACTTAGATATGGCTCTGGGGTCATTGAACCCCAAGTTGATTAAATCTCTTGAATTGTCTTTGAGAGTTGTTCTGTGTATTTATTAAATAAAAATTATCTAGTGTCTTTCAAATTCCTTTACAATGAACTAATTCCCTTGTTTCTTTGGAATTCTTTGATGTCCCAAATCTTCTAGAACATTCTGCATGAGACTTCTAGGTTTTTTTTCCTTAGAAACAGGAAGTTGACAAAAAAGGCACATTTATTTTAGTTCCCAAAATTGGTGTGGGTGGTATCTGATGAATTCTAAAAATAGTACAAGCTTTTCAACACTAAATTTGGCCTTTGCCAAAAGATTCAATGGATTTTAGTCTGAAGTTTGTCCAAAACTACCCTGGCTAAGTTTGAAGGCCTCTTCGTAATTGTTAATATTCTTGGTCTTGCCACTATTACATCTGGAAATTTGCTTTGTGTCTTTTTCTTGATGGAATAAACGATAATAATAAATATCTCTGATTACAAAAACTCACAATTAATTGAATCATGTAATTCTGTCTTTTATACCAGGAATCAACCTAGATGACTCACTAGAGTCTATGAGCCACATTTCAACCACGTTGCCTGTTTGGTTTTCTTAAGTAATATATTAAGTTAAGTTCACATAGTATAAAATCATTTTAAAGTGAACAATCCAGTGATATTTAGTACATTCACAATTTTGTGCAACCACTAGGTCTGCTTGGTTCTCTAACATTTAAATCTCTCCAAAATGAAACCCTTTGCCCATTAAGCAGCTTTTTCCCCCATTCCCTTTCCCCACAGCCCCTAACATTCCATCTGTTTTTAGGCTCTGTGGAGATCTCTATTCTAGATATTTTATATACATGAAATCATACAATATGTAGCCTTTATGTTGGCATTTTTGACTTAGCATAATGGCTCAGAGGTTCTCCACATTTAGAATGTGTCAGAATTTCATTCCTTTTGATGATTGAACTACGTTCTATTGTATGAACACTTTATCTGTTTACTCACTGGTGAAATTTTACTCTATTTTTTACCTTTCAGCTATTGTGAATAGTGTTGCTATAAACATGTAATACAGGTACTTGCTTGAGTCCCCTTTTTCAATTCACTGATGTATACACTTATCTATCTGGCCCTTTAAGAAAAAATTTGCTGAACTCTGTTTTAGAAAGGTAGCCCTTCTTAATCCTTTGTCACTTTATTTCACAGCTCCCCAAAATAAGACCAAATAATACTGTTGTGACCTTGGGTGAATCAGCTTATTTTTAGTCTTACATATCCTTATCTATAAAAAGATACGGTAGGACTAGTTGTTTTCCAAGTTCCCTTTCGGCAGTACTAATCTGTAAAGCAATTATTTCCAAAATGGATTACTGATGTTTTTACTTTTTTACGCAGTTTACAACTTATTTGCCCAGCTTTCTTCTGACTTAAATTAATAGTTTCCTCCATAATTCTCTTTGATTCTACATCATACAAGCAGGGAACAGCCAGTCCCTATCTCATGTTGTTCTTTCTATACACCAAGTTGTAGTGATTTGGTAGGATTATTCTGGGAGGGTATGAACAATTTATCATCAAGTGAAGATTCCTGGCTCTTGCAGAGGGGAAAAAGGAATCCTATTAACTAACTAAATGGCATCATTGATGATTTCTTAAACACACAGCCAAAGGACCAGCAGATGGCATAATGGTTACATTGTTGGACTCCCACATAGCTGACCATAGTTCAAGTCCCAGACACTCACACCAGGCACGTGTGCGTGTGCCCAAGATCCTGGGAGGAGAACGTGAGGAGAAGGGATTGTGGTGTGGCCATCCCTCTGGGGAGTGATTTCTTGCCTTCTGTCTCTCTGTCTTTCTCTGTGTCTCTGGCAAGTGCATGTGCTCTATAGCAAAAACAAAAAACACACAGCCAAATCACAGCAATACAAAAACATTATATAAAATTACCTTCAGTTTGGGTTAGTGCCATAGCACAGTGTTTAAGCACTGTGTGGAGAGAGTAAAATCCCCCTGTAGCCAATTGTAGTTCAAATCCTGGTGCCAGTGACTTGAAAAACGTGTCAGATGCCTGTGCTTATGGGTCCAAACTCCTGACAGGATGGAGAAAGGGAGGAAAAAGGATTGGATTGTGTCATGATCACACCCTACTGGGAGACGCTTTTTTCTCTCTGTATCTGGCAAGTTCGGGTACCATCTAGCAATTTAAAAAATTATAAGGTATGTATGAAACATAAATAAGTTCATAAATGAATTTTGTGTTTATATTTGGGTCCCATCCCCAAGATATTTCGTTATGTATGTGCAAATACAGTCATGCCTTCCTTAACAAATGGGATGTGTTCTGAAAAAAAGTGATCTTGCAGTTTCATCATTGTGTGAACATTATAGAGTGTAGTTACACAAACCTAGATGGTATAACCTACTACACACCTAGGCTATGCAAAGGGAATTGCATTTTCATAGGAAAATGGAATTAAGATGAAGTTTATTTTTGGTGCAAAAATTGTTTAAATTCACTCATCCTTTTAAAAATAATATGCATTTTCCACAAATTTCTTGAAGATCCCTTGTGTGGTATAGTTTATTATCACTTTCTAGGGTCAGTTGTTAACTGAAACATTGTTATGGGTGCATAACTGTATTTGAAAATATATTAAAAAACAACCCTGAAATCTAGTCCCAGGCATTTTGGATAAGGAGCATTCAGCCTGTACTTGGCCAGTGCCTGTCCAGGAAAGCCAAAGCAAGAATTCTGGCCAACTCAAATGGTTTTAACTTTTTAAGATGATTTGTATAGGCCAGCCAGGAAAGGGAGATGTTCTGGTTTGCCCATTCTGACACCACATAACTGATCCATAAGAGAACCAAAATGGCTTTATGTGGTACTTACTCTTAGAGTTCTTTTTTTTTTTCTTTTTTAACTTTTTCTTTTGTTTTGTTCAATTTTTTACCCTCTGGGCCCAAAGCCGGCATGTGGCGGTCAGAGGGAAAAGGGTTCTAAGGTGCTTTCATCAGCGCGAGGCAGCGATTCCGGAGATTGTCATCACTTCACGAGTTCTTCCTAATAGATTAAACCTTAGGAAAATCCGTCTTTAACTTCTGTCTCTTACTTCACAATGAGTCTTACAGAGCCTAACTTTTTGCCTCCCTCACAACAGCTAGAGTCTAATGCTTGGCTAATGGAAGTTAACAATAACCTTGCTGAGTCTTTATAGGTCCTGGCTATAGAGATAGGGAGGGGAAAGGTGCCACCAGCCCCTTCCTATATGACCAGCTGAGAATATTTTTATCAACTGAAGCTTTGCAGAGCCATACCTAGCTTCTAAACTAGGATCTAAGAATTGTCTTGTCTGACTCCATTTTGCATCTTCTGCCTGGCTAATCATTGCTTATCTTTACACCTCTTGCAAATGGTCATTGTGCCCTGCCCTGCATTCCCAGAAGGAAAAGTGCCCCCCACCCCATCCAGCAGTGATTGCTCCCTGACTTGATCACATGTCTTTGGGATCTGTGGAAGACAATGACCTCATTGCTTCTTCCTCATTTTAGCCAAGAGAATGAATAACCTACCGTTTGTTTCTAAATGTATCCACACTGGAATTTTCCCCTATATAAGTTTCTTATCTTGCCCAGTAAGGCAGAGGCAGTTATGGACTCTGTTCTACTCTCTCCCCAGTGCTGGCCACACTGAATAAATTCCTTTCTTGGGACCAGCAGTTGGTATAATGGCTATGTCATTGGACTCCCATGAGTCCATGTAGTCGACCGTGGTTTGCGTCCTGGGCCTGGTGGCTTAAACTCATGCTGGGTGCGTGTGTGTGCGTGCCCGAGATCCCGAGAGGACAATAGAGGAGAAGGGATTGCAGTGCGGCCATTCCCCCTGGGGAGTGATTTCTCGCTTTCTGTCTCTCTGTCTCTCTCTGTCTTTCTGGCAAGCACACGTACCCTATAACAAAAACCTCTCCATAACAACAAAAAAAGAAATTTCTTTTTTTACTCTCTAAGTTTTGTCCCTTTGTCAAATCAGCTAGTGTCATGGACCTGATTTTGGGCCGTCTGAATGAGCATCTGTGCATGTTCCAACATCAACTAGAGTAAATATTGCCTGTTGTGATTAAAAAGGACCCATCTGGTCCATGGGTAACTAAAAAAAGGCAGGAATTTCTTAACTTTGGGTCTTTGAAATGAATTGAATGAAGATGAACCATGAATTGTCTGTCAGTCTAAAGATAAAGAGGGAAAAGACCAAAATATTTTTTTCCTATTATCTACTCACCACTGAACACTTCTGTGACCCCTGGTTACAAAAATATGTGGGAACCAGCAGTTAGCGTAATGGCTATGTCGCTGGACTCCCACATAGTCGACCGCGGTTCGTGTCCCGGACCCGGTGGCTTAAAACTCACGCCGGGCGCGTGTGCGTGCGTGCCCAAGATCCCGAGAGGAGAATGGAGGAGAAGGGATTGTGGCGTGACCATCCCCCCTGGGGGGTGATTTCTCGCTTTCTGTCTCTATGTCTCTCTCTGTCTGTCGGGCGAGCGCACGCGCCCTACAGTGAAAACTCTCCAAAAAAAAAAAAAAAATATGTGAGTTTCAGGACCAGCAGTTAGCGTAATGGCTATGTCGCTGGACTCCCACATAGTCGACCGCGGTTCGTGTCCCGGACCCGGTGGCTTAAAACTCACGCCGGGCGCGTGTGCGTGCGTGCCCAAGATCCCGAGAGGAGAATGGAGGAGAAGGGATTGTGGTGTGGCCATCCCCCCTGGGGGGTGATTTCTCGCTTTCTGTCTCTCTTTCTCTCTCTGTCTTTCTGGCAAGCGCACGCACCCTATAGCAAAAAACTCCTCCCCCAAAATATTGTGAGTTTCGGCCCAGCAGGTGGCATGGTGGTTGGGGCCCTGGACTCCCACATGGTGTCTTCTAGCAAAAATAAACAAAAAACAGGTTATCTACCAGTTATTTCAAGCACTCTATGTAGGAGGGAAAGATCCTGACTGGTTTCACTCTGCTTCTTCTACTCAGTTTACAAAGGCTAGTTTTTCTAGAGGAAACCTTAGTCCTATTCTTCAGCTAACTTCTACAAATAAAAAGTCAAGTACCACCTACCCAGGAAGCCTGGGTACTCTGGCTAGAGTTCACACTCTGAGCCAATTCTTTAGATCACATGGTTCAGCCACCCTGCCCAGCTGTTTCTCTCCCCTCTCCCTGCTTTTCTTTTCTCTCTTCTCTCATCTCTTCTCAGCTGAAGAAACTGAAGGCCCTTTGGACAACATTAGGTGACAACACAAAAACTTTACAGCATTTATTCTGATTCTTGTTCTTGCACCTTTCCTATGATACTGTGTAGCACTAGGAGACCAGTATGAAGGCAAACGACTGAAATTGATGACCATTTTGAGTCAATAATTTATATCACTTTATCTTCCTAGTTATACCAGTCATTCAAAGATATCAGACTCACTGATAAGAAAATATTACAAAAGAAACTACAGTGTTTCTTGTAGTCTAATCAATACCAATCTGAAATGTTTTTGCTTTTGTTTTAATCTCTGCCTCCGTAAGTATTTGTGCTATTGACTTAGTTTCAATTAGCTTTTGATGTTTTCCTTCCACCTCTTTTCATGATAGGGTGGGGGTGGAGTATTTACAGTCTGATATGTCATCTGTGAAGCTCTGCATCTCAAAACCGCAGAGGTAACCCTGATGTAGTCAAAACAAGACTGGGAATGCTCATAAGCTTGGCCGTGCTGTCTCAGCTACAGAGTAACCCTGAAGCTTGAGATTCCCAGAGGCAGCAATCACATGGCAGCCAACACTAAAAACAAGCTTGAATTTTCCAGAAATTTGCCCTTGAACTAATACAAGGTCATCATGATCCAGAACCTAATACCAAGAAGAATTCTTTCGTAAGAGTCCATAGATGTTGTTGAGAAATTGGGTCATAAGTTTATAGAGAGTGATGTGGGAAATAAGTGGGACATGGTAGGAAGAAGACACTTGTAAATAGAAGAATTTCCAAACTCTCTTGTAGAAGTCAGTTAATGCCTCTGAGTTTTTATTTTCTCATCTGTAAAATGGGGATACTACTATTAAGCATGCTCACAGGAATCAAATGAAGAAATTATGTAAATGAGGTTATTTTGAAAACTATAAAGTGCTCTAGAAATGTTGCTATCTGTATTGTATGTGTGTGTATTTCTGTCTGTCTGTATGTATATGCATTCTGTGTGTGTGTGCATGTATAGTGGAGTTCCTCTGGCATAGCATGTACAGCAGTGATTTCCACTAAAATACACCAGAAAGGAGGCCTGCATCCTTGTTCGTCTAGTGTGTGAAGGGGATATTCATAGACATGGTACACAGGAGCAGGGCTCCTTTACATCCCAGAATATGTGTAACCCGAGGGGATCTAGAGGCCACTAGAGGACAAAGGAAAATAATATGGCCCAACTTCCTGGAGCATACTGACTTTATGAAGCAGAATGCAAATGTTTGCATGAGTTTTTGTCAGATAAAATATGATACTTCAAAGAACTTTCTGACATGCCATACTCCACTTTCATCTGTGCCTCCAGTACTACAGAGACTGTGGACTCTGGTCTGCCAATGAGGGGTCTGGGGAATAGTTGGTGGTGCTCTGGGGTAGGGGAAAGAGCACTGGACCAGGAGGCAGTGAGGACAGTGGTGCCAAGGGCTCTGTTCCATCCATCGGTACCTTGGAGTCCCTCCTATTGTTGCTAGGATACCGTCTTAGCGCCTACACTTCTTTCTTCCCTGCATAATCTCAGCAGCCATCCAAGTGCTTCCTTCCAGAGTGATCTTTTGAAACCAAACAGGCTTAGCCCCTTCTCTCTGGTTGAATTTTTCACTATATTCTCCTGGCCTATGAAGTGAACTCCACATTTGGGTAATCTGGCACAAGATCCCTCCCAACCTGACTCCCAGTAGCCTTTAAAGCCTCTGATATTCCACTGCACCCCCATACACCCTACTTCCCTCCACCCCTCAGTTCCTTATTCTCCTTGTTTTTCCAAATGTGGTTCTCTGTTTTGTTCCTAATCCTGCTACACTAAGAAAACCTTAGCTCACCACTCAAGACCTCATTCATAGTTGCCTCCAGTTGGAGGCATTTCCATCTCAGCCAAGCCAGGTTGACCACACTAAACAGTGCCTGCTGCATGCTAACTTTGATTTTGTTCTCATCACTTTCTCAGTTGGCAGAGAAAAGTTCTTCAAGATCTTTTGAAACAAAATCTCAGCAGATTTTCTTATTTCCAAACAGAATTAAAATAGGAAGTGAGAGTCAAAAGTGTACTTCACTGTGACAAAAGTCAAATTGTGAAATCAAAGTATCCTCATCTCCTAAGAAGCTCAAGTCTCCTTGGGGACAGAATGCTCTAGGCCTTCTGAGACTCCGTGGAAAGTCACTTTAAGAGGTTCTTGCTGGCGTCTGAGTTCACACTAAAGCAGGGCAAATGGTTTTATAGTTTTGAGTGCCAAAGAAAACCCCTGCAGAGCCCAAGTCAAATTGTGGTTTAAAGAAAAGTGGCTACAGAGATCCAGGCCGGGAGCCAGTCAGAGCTTAGATAGGACATAAATGTTTCCTTCATTAAAAAAAAAAAAAAAAAAAAAATTCTTTTGTGGAGGAAGTCATGAGTCCCCAAGCAAGTTCTAACTTCACTAAAAAAACTGAGCTAAGTCCTGCCCTCACATTCATTCTTCTTCCAGAAACAGGGAGAAGAGAGGTGGCTGTCTTCCCTGAACTCCAGGGCAGAGTGAGTTAGTAATGAATCCTGTTTGTCTTATACACAACAGTCCAAACTGGACTCACTTTTACCCTAATTTATCATTGAAAACCAAATTGGTGTCACTACAGTTCCCAAACGACTACTGCTTCTGGTTTTGCCTGTCATTAATGTTGTTTATTGTTGTTGATTTTGTTCTTTCCATAACTGACAATGAACTGTATATAATCAGATAAATGATCTTACACATGTACTTATACATGATAATATATAATCAAATATATATGATCAAATATATATG